ACATGTGGGTTATTTTCATATCAGAAGTCTACAAAGTCTGTGTCTTCACTAAACCGGGTTGATTAAGGACACAGTTTATGTCAATGCAAAGAGGTTTAACAGAACAGATCCAATACTTTTGAGTCAATATTAATTTAATCCTGCTCTATATTGATTATTATTAGATCAAATTAGAGTGCTTGGACTGGAGTCAGCTAAAATTATAATAATAAATACAGAGGGTAAAATTCTTAGAGGACATCAGGTGAACAGAAAATACCTGCTTCATCTGAGATATTCAGCAGTTATCACGCTCACCCACACTGTGTGATACTGAGGGTGGCGTCTGTGATTAAGTGTTCATTAATCTGAGCCTCATGTGGGTGTTTGAAACACTAGAGGGCGCTCACGGCTCTCAGCTGACAGCTCACTGAGCTGCATGTCTGTGTGACTTAAAAAAAAAAAACTGCTGTAGAAAAACAAAAGGTTCCCGCAGGCATGTACAAAAATATAAATGCATCTACACATCCAGGCTACAGTTTTTTTTTTTACAGTTTCACAGATTAAAATAAGAGTTTCAGTGAAACAGCTGCAGAGACAGAGACCAGAAAAACGCTGTGCATGGATCAGTTTTAAAGATGTCTCTTTTTTCACTCTGTAAAATGTTTTTTTTTATAAACTGTTCAACCCTGTAATCCTGCGTCACTTTTCAAATCAGGTGTGAATATGCATCTGTGTTTGCATATGTCTCTACTTCAGGGTTTGTGTCTGTAAGGAGAGAGTCCTCTGAGGCTCAGACTCTCTCTCTCTCTTTCTCTCTCTCTCTCTCCTGACGTGCTGCTCCCACTCAGGAGGGGGGTGAATTGAATACAGTCGGAGGCCTGCACCTGTACAGTGGTTCAAACATGGACCTAGTCTCAGTGGGGTCACCTGTTAGTCTCTGAAAAGGCGAATTTGGAGCTTGATGGTGGCGGTCAAATATGAGAATGCTGACTCGAGAACAGTTTCAGAATAAGAGCTGTCACCATAACCGATTTTTACCTCTTTATCATGGAAATATGATGCAATACATACAATTCTTTTCACAATATTTATGGAAAACTTGAGGAGAGGCAAGACAAGTGTGACGCAACATCATACTTCATAAACTTACTGTTGCTTTTTCCCCTTCATTGTCAAACTGTGCTTTTATTTTGAAGTTCGCCGTGTCTGGTAGATTTTAAGTTACAGAAACAAATGAAAACATTAGAATAAGAATAACTTTATTTATCCTCGAAGGGAAATTCAATAACTGTTAGCAAGAATAAAGAAAATAAGAATTAAGAAATAAAAAAAAAATAAAGAAAATAAGTAAGAAACTAAAGAATAAGTACAATAAAAAAATTAAAGAAAATAAAGAAATAAAGAAATGAAGAAAATAAAATAATAAAATAAAGAATAAATACAATAAAAAATTAAAGAAAATAAAGAAATAAAGAAATGAAGAAATAAAGAAAATAAAAAATAAAATAAAGAATAATACAATAAAGAAATAAATTAAAGAAATAAATAAAATAATGAAGAAACTAAAGAATAAATACAATAAAGAAAAAAATTAAAGAAAATGAAGAAATAAAGAAAATTATAAAGAAAATAAAGAATATATACAATAAAGAAAATAAAATTCAAGAAAATACAGGAAATAATAAAGAAACTAAAGAATAAATGTAATAAAGAAAATAGCTTTAAGATTCAAGAACTGATAGAAAAAAATATAAAACGCACAACCTGTGAAATAGTTTTGGATTCAGATTAAATCTTTTAAAAGTGCTGAATCATCCCTCAAAGGGCGGCTTTGGCTTGCTCACTAGCGGTCTACGATGTCTTCTTCGTCTTAAGAACCACGACAGTAAAGTTTATTATCACTGTAAGCTTATTTTTAGCACAATATCAATATTATAACTTTGTCTGTACAGCTGTGTTAGAATGTCTCAGTCGGCTTTCAGACTCTTGTGTACGTCTTCGTTGTCGTCTGTCGCTCAGGGTTGGACCCGCAGAGGGACCCTGACTCACTCTCAGTGTGGCTCGGCCCACTCCCACTCTCCCTCCTGTTGTTATAAAAACATCACCATACTTTTCTCCTTTAAACCCCGGCCCTGCGCTCCCCTGTATTCAGTCTCCCTCTTTCTCTAAGCTCCGGCAGTTTCCCGCAATAAAAGATCCTTTTTATCAGCAAACACCCGCCATTTGCTTTTCAAAGGCTGACATTTGATTAATTGACGAAATGATTTTCGTGGAAATGTCATATCGCACACAGACGGAGGTAAACAGAGAGGCGAGTATCAGGATTTAATTGTGTTTTCCTTTTTCCTCTAATAAACATTCAGCCTATCAGTTCACCTCTTTCACCACGTCTGCTTTAATGATCGTGAGGCGCGTTCGTACGACAAACTTTGCTCTCTCCTGCGCCAGAGGAAACTTTCTCTCCGATTGGAGGAAAAGCTCTTAATTGATATCAAATTATAAAGTTGACGTTAAGAGGAAAAAATCGACCCTGCCAAATCTTTTCCATTTGAAACTTCAAACGAGAGCTGATGTCTAACTCCACCTCTCGAACCCACATCGGTGTATTGATATAAAGAAGTTCTAGTCTGTTAGACACTCTGCAGGTCCTGAGAGGATCACAAATACTCCACCTGAGCACTTCAGCGCCGGCTTTTATAAGAGCAGGAGAGGATGATCATTGATATCGACCGGGTCGAAATCTGAGCGCGCGGGGCTGATACCAGGGGGAAATGGCGGGGCAGCTGGACTCTTCAAAGAGGAGTAGAGAGCACTTTGTAGGTAAATGACTCTAATGATTCAGCCGGTGGAGCTGTAATTGCTGAAGAGAGGGAGATATTGTTTGTTCCAGAGGCTGGTTTTATTCAGGACCACATCCTGGTGACTCAATGAGCTGAGCTGCAAACACAGCCATGATGTTACAGATGTGCCTCTTTCCATGGGAGGGCCAAAAAGTAACGGCTTATAGTCAAACGTAATGAGACACCGTCTGTCCAGAGAATCATTTAGAGAGCTGAGAGCAGCCAGAGCAGATTCACATGTACCTTTGGAAATAAAACAGACGATCCACAAAATGTCAGTTTGTGCGAACATCAAAATGTGACTTTAAAAAATGGTTGTAAATAAGTTGTGTTGGTATAAAGAGTGGGGACAAAAAGTCTGAACTGTTTATCTGCGACTGTTCATGAAGTTCAGAGACAAATCTGTCATAAAAAGTAGAGCCTCCAGTCTGAACCTCATCACTTTTATCCCCCTTAAAGTAAATTACTGTATTATCTCTGTTGGTACTTTGGGACCTCCAGCAGACTTACTGTGAAGATGAGGAAAAAGTCATAAAAGTGCATTTCAAGCCCTAAATTTGATCAATAATGGTGGGGATTTAACCTCGTCACATTTTTACTTCATGATTGTTGAGACTAAATAATCACTGTAATGATAATGTCCTGATATTTATGGTCAACTTGGAAAAAAAAAAAAAAGGAAAAAAAGTTAAGATAAGACAAGACAAGTGTACAGAGCCCAGGATGTAGGGTTGGGTATCGTTGATTTTGAACGATTTAGATCCTGATTCCGATTCCTTGTTTCGATCGGGGGAATCGGAATGTTAGTCCCGGTCCCCATTGATGCTCGAGACTCGATGCCCAACCCTGCCAGGACGTGACATGAACTTTTTATTATTATTATTTTTTTTTGTGCATGTGATTTAGTATCTCGAACTTGCGTTTTATACGTATCTCGTAAATACGTTTCATTTGTATCTTGCGCATGCATTTTTGTAAATAATCCTCCGCGCCTCATTCGTGAGAGAAGACAGACAGGGTCATGGACAGAGAGCGTATTATCAACGTGTTCTGTCATTTATGTATGACTCACAAAGAGATACGTCAAAGCTTCGCCACAGTTGGTTTTGTTTTGAGTAGGAGACACCTCATCAGGATCCTGAAAGCACAGCGACTTTGCCGTCAGCGATGTTCGGAACTTGTAGAGGTTATTTAGTTTTTTTAACAAAAAGTTAAATCGTACCTGTGATATAATAAAATGCATGTAGAAGTTACTAAATCATCCTTAAAATCCCCTTTAGAGTGTCCAACCATCTTTAAGATGGCGGCTGCAGCTAGCTAGCTAACAGGTTACTGAAGTTGCTGCTGCTTCTTCTTTTTCTGTGATTCTTGTGCCGCACAAACATGCATAAGGATCAAACTTTAAATTTAGCAAAAAGCTGATTTACTAAACTTTTATCAGTTGGAAGTGTTATCAGAGATCATGCTCCTTTATTATAGATCAGTCTGTCGTCCTTAAAGTGAGAGAATCTCATTAAACCAAGAGTGAAAACATAGATGTTTAAATCAGACGTAGATGTTTCCCCTGATGTTGGACCTTTTTTAGCTGTTACCCTCTGTTATTGTCCAACATCAGTCCTTTCCTACAGGAAAATGTCGCACAACTGCATTCACGCTCATGTTTGCACAAAGGCTGCAGAAAACCGTGACATCCTTGTCGAGTAGCAGAGCGACTTCCTGCCATTTCTGAGTGATGAGAGAACATCTCATCCACCCAGGCGTCACGTCCCCAGGCTGTCCACTTCAGGTGGAGGTCTGTCATCATCAGAAACACAGCAGAGCCACAGTCAGTGAAGAGGAGGAGGAGGAGAGATGATGAAGAAGAGGAGAGGAAGTCTGGTGAGAGAGAGAGAGAGAGAGAGAGCTGATCCAGCCTCAGGCTCATCTGTCCAGTTGATCTTTGTCTCTTCCCTCTTTGTTTCTTTCTCCTCTTCACGTCACTCCACACTCTTTCTCCAACTCAGCACTAACACACACACACACACACACACACACACACACACACACACACACACACACACACACACACACACACACACACACACACATACACACACACACACACACACACACACACACACTCTCCGGGCTCCTGTTTCATAAAGAAGCCTCTCTTCTATTGGCTCCCTAAATTGCCTCTCAATTTTCATTTGGCCCTTCGATTAGGCTGCGTTCCCGCTCCTCTTCTGCTTTCTCCCAAACGTGGAGAAGTGTTGTTTGCAGGCGGATCAATGGCACCAGGCCCAATGAAGAAGAGGAGGAGGAGGAGGAGGAGGAGGAGGAGGAGTGGGAGACGTGCTGACTGTGGGTGTTCTGGCTCCCACCTCGTCCTCCCTGCCAGTTTCTGCACTTCTTAATCAGGAAAGAGACCAAACTTTCCCCAAAATACTCCTCCTCCTCCTCCTCCTCCTCCTCCTCACTGTCTGTGTCGTCTCTGGTATAACATGCCAGCTTGTATTCTCTTTGGCTGTTTTTCTCCGAGTGCATATTGTGTTTCAGTCTGGATAGAGTGACCGTTTCTGTCAGCCATGTGAGAGTAGATGATACACCAACATGAGAACCTATCAGCTGTTTACTGATGATGATAGACTTCTGGGAACGAGGGTCGACTTTTAGGGACATTACGGTAAAGACAACAAACAGTCTTCAACACTTTTCCAGAAATAACTTGTTGAAGGTTTGTGCAAATTAAAAATCCAAGATATGTCGGGTTTGTCCTAAAGAAAGGAAAACTAACTTTCAAACTAAACAATCATCAAATAGAGAATCTGATTCTGCTGCAACACAGGAAGTCAGGAAATCAAAATCTAGATGTTGCTCATCCGTGCAAATGTCAGTTTATGGTAGAGATGTTACTAAGCAACCAGTTTCCCAGATTCCCAGGATCAGAGTCTGCAGGTTAAAGATGTAAAACAGCCACGTATGATCTTAAAAATATTATAATCCAGGTTAAAAGACATTTCACTGTCGTTTCCTATCTGCCTAACGACCTTCAACCCTTTCTAACCGTCTTTTGTTCAGCCCCGCCTCTAAAACAGATCTCACTTTTTGTGTGATATGTGTCTGCTGCTCTAGTTTCATGCTAGTTTTGCTAGCCTGCAAAACACTGACTAGGACTAGGACTACAAAATGCCTTCTGTGCTTGTTTACATCCGGGTAGTAGATCTTTGCAGCCTTAACTGGAGCTGCAGATCCAGTCGGACCAAACACGACCTTCTTTAAAGTTTAGATCTCTGCTTTCAGATTCCACATCCTCGTAGAGAAGTTATCTGTACGCCTTTAAAACCGCAGACTTCAGCCTCCTCTCTTCTGCGATCGCACGTACAGAAAAGATATGAAGTGAATTTATTTAAACGAGTGTCCTCTCTAACTTTTCCTCGTCCCCTCCGGTCATCTCCGCTCCCAATTATCTCAATTATTCCAGTCGTTAATTATCCGCGCTCCTCCTTCACATTTGATTCTTGTTTTCATCTCTTTTTCCACGTCTCCTCGATGCAAAGGAGTAAAAAAAAAGATGAATAAGTGATTTACCAGTCGGCTGAGTTTCAGTTTTAATTGCAGACCTAATTGACAGTGTTTTGTTTGTTGGTAAAGGTTTCACCTGAACTGTTGACTGTCATCAACTTTAAGCGACTAATTAGAGATGGTAGGTGTAACAGAGCCGCGCTGTGATTCACTCACAGACGGGAGAGTGGGTGTTTTTTTCTTTTTTTAAATCTGATTGATATTAATTCATGTTTAGATAAAACTGCATGTATCTCTGACTGCAGCAAACATAAGTCCTACAATATGGAGTATATATGCAGACAGGCAGGTGTGTAGCAGTTTACGTCAGTGTGAAATAATCCAACAATTATTACTCTTTCCTAAGTATGAGTGTGACTCTTATAGAAAGTGATGCAGCTCAGTGGATTTATGCAAAATCAACCAGTCAGCTGATCCTTTTAACTCTGCAGTATATCATGTGGAGAGAACTCAGCTGTATTATTAATGTGTGCTAAAGACTCGACCTGTTTTTGCATTAAAGCAGAGATAAACTTCACTGTGACGGTTAAACATTTCCTCTTTCACAGACGTCACAATCTGGTGTCTCTATATACTAAATCCACAGATTTAAATCCAGTATTTAGTCGTCACAAGTCGAGCTGTAAAGTGTAAGTCGACTGGTCCATCTATGAGGTGATGAGTCGAACAAAATTCTGATCGGTCAACTCAATTTTTTCTTCATCAGTTTACAGTCTATGGTTAATTTCATCAGGAGGAATGTACCAAGTGCTAATGGGGGTGTTTTTAGAGCACCCTGGTTTCCCAGGTAACAGCCTGTCTCAGAACTACCCCCTTGTTTTCACTGTTTCATTGTTTATTTTGGGTTCACCCAACCCACTGGAGACAGAAGATCGAAGAGCGTCCATGTCAATTAATGTCTGGTAGTTTGCTGAATATTTACTTTTATTTTGAGCCTTTAAACTTTCATCGTGTTTATTTGCCTTCTTGTGTTGATTGCTGCGCTCCACCGAGCCGCATCGTCCCCCGCCACAGAGGGGTTTGCTTTCAGAGTCGGAAGCCATCAGTCGATTTTTGGTCGAAAATTTCAGAGTTTTAGATGACCAAGAATTTCTTTGGTTGATTACAGCCCACACAAGTCTCTTTTACACATGCAATTTTTCTTTAACCCTGCAAAAGTGTATCCAGAGCAATTATGAAAAGTTTTGCAGTTACATTTTCAGTACTTGTAGTAGAAAAAGAGCCAAAGTTTTTACAGTCTGTGCCTGAAAAATTCCTCTTTTTGTGCCTCAGACATTCCCATCCATCCCTTTAAGTCCCAAGCTCCTCTTCCTTCTAGAAATTCCAGGTACAGTCAGGTTGAACATTTGCGTTCACACCTGCAACTCACCTTGAAAATTTGGGGATTTTTTTTGAGAAGTAACCCTGAATTTCCACCGCATCCGGAACAACTCTGATCCAGAACGGCAGCAATTTTCGCCGTCCGCCAATGGTAGGAACCAGATATTTGTGTTTGTGTCTGACTTAATTTCCAGCACGGACTAATCTGTGCTGAATTTATCCGCCATGCTCCGGCGTCCGGGAAAATAGAACCCGATCAGCTGCGGAGTCCGGCGATCCGCAGTGGAAACTGGACTGAACATCTCATGTTCAGACACAGTTTAAGAACCCTGGAAAACTGAGCCTCTTCACACGTGTCATTTTTCTTAATTGACCGTTAACTACCCTCATCCACTTCCTCCTCCTCCTCCTCGTCTGTCTCCTTGGCAGAAGTTGGTCATATTGCAGCCAGAGGCATTTGGACAAAGACCTAATCGCTCCACACCACCCTCTGCTCCTCACATCTGAGGGTCCAACCCGCACCTTTACAAGGACTCTGCAGTCGCCCGGGGGACGGCGCCGGTTAATGTGAGGGAGTCGAGTTCAGCTTCTGACGCGAGGAGGAAGGAGTTTCAGTCTGTCCTTGGAGGCCGTATTGGAGGCTGTTTAGATGCTGCTGCTGGAAAAAAAAAAAAGGTGCATATGATTTAAGAGTGTAGCGGCACGGTCAGAGCGACTCATTCATCACATCTGGAGCCGTGTGAGGGGAGAACGGGGAGAAAGGAGTGACACAGAAGGAATTTAAAGCAGAGAGAAAGGAGGTGATTTCTGGAGGTGGTTCATGCTCATCAACCTCTTTTCCCTCCATCACCTGAGCCCCACCCAGGGCCCCGACCCTGCAGAGCCAGCCTATTACACCCGAGCGTTGATGTGTGTGTGAGCGTGTGTGTGTGTGTGTGTTCAAATCTTCAGGTCTTTGAGTGTGTTCGCGTGTGTGTGTGTCTTTAACACCTGAGAGGCACCAAAGATTGATGTAGTGCCATGAATCAACAGACGGCGTCAGGAGGGATTGTGTGCCTCAAAGCTGAGCTGGGTGTGTGTGTGTGTGTGTGTGTGTGTGTGTGTGTGTGTGTGTGTGTGTGTGTGTGTGTGTGCGTGTGTGAGTGTGTGTTGATCCAAAGATGTGACAGCTGTTTTGCCGGGGTGCTGAACACGATCTCCGCGGGTAAACTCGGCGTTCTGATATTATTTTGGTCATAAAATATTTGTGCGAGTGTTCGCAGGTTTGCGGCTTGGAGGTGATTTCAGACGGCGGATGCAAATCAATAGAAGACGGCGATCAATGTGTTAATTTGTGTAAGTGGAGAGTGTGTGTTTGTGTGTGCAGATATCATAGCTTTGAGGTTTTGTCACAGGAGCAGGGTCAGACTTCCTCCATGTCTTCAGATTATGAAACATAAACGCAGCATTTCTGTTCACAGGTGAAGGATTTACGACGTCTGAACACGCTCAAGCTGGAATCTCAAAATACAAGAGATCCAGGACTAATGTTGTCCTTTAGTTTGAGTCTTTGGTTCCTGCTTAAATAAACCTGATCAAATCCTGTCTTTGTAAACACACTCAATGGCTGGTTCTCCTCACACCTCCAGGAAGTAGGGCTGCACGATTTTGGCCAAAAATAAAATCCAGATTTTTTCTCTGAAAACTCGATTTTTTTATTTAATCACAACTTCACCAAATTTTACTTCCATACTTTCATTTTTTCTATCATCTCTCAGAACAAAACCACTAAAAACGATGTAGTGCACATGCCAAGCCAGTAAGTGGCGCTGTAACGCCGCACAGAGAATGTGTATAAAGGTTGTTTTGGCGCCATAAAAAAATTATGCTGTGTGTCACATGATCGTTTCCAGAGATGCAGATAGACGTCCACGCGGAGATGAAATGGTCGTCGTTTACAGGTTGATGCGCTCTCTGACCCGTTTCCAAAAAGTACCGTTTACAGTCACCTGAACGCCGTTTCCGTGTGGATGAAACACCGATAGACAAAAAACATAAGCGTTTACTCCTGAATTCGTTTCCGTGGTGACGCGTTGATACCGCCTACAGACTTTGCAGCAGGGAGTGGTTTGCTCTTCATCTGAAACAGCGAAGTCGTTCCAATTCCTCACGCCTGACTCGTTCTTGTCCTATTTAGCCACGAAATTATCGCCTTCTTTTGCAAACGCCATGTTTGTTTACACTGGAGAGCGCTCGGTGGCCTGAAGGTGCGAGACATGATCGAGAAGAAAATCCATTTGACGAATTTAATTTTTTAACACCTTCACAATCACATAATCCAATTACGATATAAGATCGATTAATTGTGCAGCCCTATCCAGAAGGTAAAATCGTCTGGACTTTGGCTGTTCAAAGAAATAAAGTTGCTCTTCGTCTCGTTCTTCTGTATCGTCATCATCGCTGCCTTTAAACAGCCTGTAACCTCCGTAAACAACAGATAACGTTTCGTTTGTCCCTCATAAGTCAGCGTAAAACCGCCTGATTGGGGTCACTCTTCTCTTTCTAGTCTCTCAAAACCTCCCTAATGTGTTTCAAAGGATTGCAAATGCCAACCATTATAAAAGAGACTAATTATAATGTACAACAAATTAGCCTGAAGGACTCAAGATGTTCAAGTGATTAGAGAATAATCCCTTAATGCTATTGTGAAGCGTGTTTGATATGCTTATTCAGACTTTATTACATTCCTCTGCTAAAGATGAGGGATGCCGGTGAAACTTGAGCCAAAACAGACACAAAATATGTGTTTTTTTTCCTGCATGTTGTGGGTGTTTGGAGACAAAATGTGCCTGTGTGCAGAGATCCTGAAATTTGATGTTCACACAGGCAGAGAGGACACCTACATGGACGCTGCAGTATCACCAGAAACTGTGACAATATGCTCTTATAATAACAGCCTCGTATCTGCAGCGTGTTGGAGTTCTTCCTGACAGCTTATATTAATAAATTTGAAGTATTTAAAGCTCTGCTCAGAGTTGTACCCATTCAGGCACTAATTTGCTCCGAGTCGTGTCTCTAAAAAAACATAATGAGCTGACTGGATGGGCCGTGATAACCTCCCTGTGTACTCTGACAGCTGTTTTAACAAAGCTTGCACTTTTAAAGTGCTCCAGAGGGCCGGGAGAAGTTTGGTGAATTATTGTTGGAGGAACAGTTTCTGCAGCTTGAACATATTTGTTGCAGAAGTTTGAGATGTGCTTTCTCTGAGTTTTTTTTGTCTGCAGCAGTGGGCGGCGAGCGTTTAGAGGAGGCTTAGGTTACCGTCTGAGAAGTGAGTGTGGTCATAAAAGCTCGTCTAATGTGGAGGAGATGTGACGCAGCGTGGTTCAGTTCGTCTTTGATTGACATTTTCCTCTAAGTATGAGTTTTTAAAAAACACTACAGGCTGCTTTTACCGTGTAAAATGCGACACTTCCATGTAGTCATGCATGGAAATAAAGCATCCATGCGTGTTCGCAGATGTAAGCTGTCATTGCATGTCCATATTCGTCTCTTTCTGCTGATCATATTTCTGCAGAAACTTTGATCCTGCTCAGTCTAATCTTATATCACAGTATGAGTAATTTTACATTACGGTAACGGTAATACAACTAAAGTCTTAAAAATAACTGTACTGTCACATTTGTTCATTTTCCTCTTATGTTTAAAGGGCGATTTTTTATCATACCTTTATGAAAGGAGCTGCTGCAGTTTTAGTTTTTGGTGCAGCAGGTGCGTCACACATCTTTTGGCTCTCATAATAGAGTTTGGCGTGTTTCATCTTTAAGTGGTGAAAGAGGTTTCTGGTGTTTCCACCTCCAGCAAAGACAATCACACGACACTCTTTGCATAGTTTGCTTTTTGACCATTGTCGGAATTTCTATATCCGAAGAATCTCCAGACAACCGATGTTGTGACTCGCGCCCTTTTCCGGAACGAGTTCCTCCTCCTCTTCCTCATGTTGGGTGGGTCGGGCTGCCTCCGTTTGCTCGGTACTGCCACTAATCTCCGCTAGTCTGCTGGACACGCTGGTGAATATACGGAAACGTACCCAAACGGATGCTCTCCGGTATTCTTGTTTGCAAGCGCAGAACACTGAATCAGAGAGATGCAGCAGACATCTGCTCTATCTCGTTGGTATAAACGGTATAGCGAAATTTCTACCAGTAGACACTTTTATACCATCACATGGTATATACTGTCATACCGCCCAACACTAATACAAACTGTAACACCCACCTTTTATAATGCATTACAAACACATATATAAATCCCTATAAATGCAGCTGTCTTCAGAGTTGTGATTAACATGTAACTTCTTGTCGAAATGTAGAGATGTTTCGAGTAGATGCCTCTGCAGTGATGGTGACCTGTTGGTAGAGTTGGTTATTTACGACAATAACCAACGTCATTTCGCCCTCGTTGGTATATTCGGTGGCAAAAAAATACATGAATCAAAGTTGGTTTTGGATGTGTGTAGGTCGGCTATGGTCTCATGTCCCTTTAAGACGCTGTCCTACATCAGTCCATCCAGTCTGTAACAAAGAGGGAAAGACAGGTGAGGAGATGGAGGACGGTTCAAAAGTTGTAGCAGCAGAAGGAGGGGGTGAGCAGCTTGTGGAGTAGATATTGTCCATTTGCTCGATATATCATGATGTTGATTTGAGGTCATATCGCCCAGCCCTACCTGTTGTTTTCCAGTCGTTTGTCAGATTGGTGTCTATCTGCAGAGAGTCCTTTAACGCTCTCTTCTCCAAACTCAGGTCAGTGTTACAGTCAGAGGTGTCATTCCTCTGTTTTCGCTGAATTTGGGACTCTTCGTGTCGCTCATTATGGACAGGTGAGGATCAAACTGGTGGACAGCTCCCTTCACTGACAGCTCGAGTGTTTTGGACTGATGGAGCGCCGTAATGACGGGCTCTGGAGTGACTCCACGCTGGTTTGGAGTGGAGGGGATGATTACAGCTGCAGCTGAAATGGGCCTTTAAGCCCCAAATGTCAAGAACAAGCTGATACACACACACACACACACACACACACACACACACACACACACACACACACACACACACACACACACACACACACAAAAGACGCTTTGTGATTTTTGTAGCTGCTAAACTCTTTGTCCTCATGAAGATGATCTTTAATTACCTCAGATTTGCTCTGGCATAAAGGGGTCGTCTTTTTGGAGCCTCTTTGATTTTGCCACATGCCGAGTTCACCGGGATAACAGGCACAAAGGCACCACGGACCATCTGGTGCATTGAACTGTGGACTAAAGCATGCGTATGTACATCACTTAGCATGCAAGTACATCTTTATTTTAATGAATTTACTCCAAAAACGGAGTCGAGATGATTCATTAAAATGTGCAGCGAGGAGGAGATCAGAGCGGTTTATAACTCACATCAGATCCTGATGAATGATGTTCGTCTCATCATAATGAGGCGCCTTTAAATCTCCAAACCTGCTTTAATGTTATCCATACATTAAACGTGCGCGTACATAAATCTGAGCTAATGACTGAGGAAGGAAACAGAGGAAGGAGGGGCGACACACCGCACCACCTCTTTGTCCTTGTGCCGCTTTTTAATAGAGTCATAAATACATGAGGATGGCGAGCGGGCCATGATGGCGGCCGTGCACAGCTCCGGGGCTGTCGTACTTCAACGCGACACGGATACAGCAGGCGGGCCAGGTAGACGAGGGCGGGCAGGTATCAGGGAACAGGAGGGCGGCGGGATCTCAGCGGGGCGCTACGTCAATGTGCTAAACGTGAGGAATGGCAAAGACGTACATGTTCTTGCTCAAGACATAAATAAAGAGCAAATCCTTCCACACATGATGGCGTGTGCTCTGACCTGCAAACACACAAACCAGGTTTGAGGCGGAGCGAGCGATCCATCAACCCAAACAAGGACGAGAGTTCTCTGTGAGGAAACGGGTCCTGATCCAGATTCAGTGGAAAGATTCATTCATAACTGAGATGTTGGAAAACTTTCTGCACGACTTTGGTCTCTCTGAGTTTATATGATTATCACCTTACATCAAAACTAACAGATTATCACCATTTATGAGTCTGCAGAGGCAGGAGCTGCAGTTTTAGGACCACACTGCATATTTAGGATCCTCATGTTGTTGGAGTCAGGGTTAGGATTATGGTTAGATACTTGACAACTTAAAATAAAATAAAATGAATAAAAGAGAAATGTGAAGAATACAATCACCCCAGATTAAAGAGATGAAATGACAAATATAAGAAATAGAAAATCAGAGAAAGAAATAATGAATATTAACGACATAAATGAGAAAGAAATAAAGTAAAATTAAAGGATTTGCATCTCCAAAATCACACACCTGCATGAAAAAAGAGTAAATAAAGACTTAAATCCTCCAAATGATAAAAAGGAAATAAAAGAGTGAAGGAAAAAAATGAAACAATCAGAAGGTGAAAAATAAAAGATTTACCTGGAAGCTGGAGTCAAAGATGTAGCAGGTGGTGCATCTGAAGCAACTTGGATCTGCAGCCTCCAGGTCTGCAGAGGCTGCACATGCAGACAGGCTTTTTCTGTCTATGTGTCTGTATTTGTCATTTATATTTGGAGCTAATGCAGAGTCTGTGCATGATTGATAAATGTAAACATGCACGCTCATAGGAAATACTGTGTTTATTTCTATTTAAATGATTATAAACGGGGCAGGAAGATAAAACATTAACAGTTTGTCTGATTATCTCCAGTAATATTTACCTCCGCCAAGGAGGTTATGTTTTCGGTAGCGTTGGTTTGTTTGTTTGTTTGTCTGTTAGCAACTTTACGGAGAAAGTTACAGATGGATTGACGTGAAATTTCACATTTTGGTGGTGATCTGGAAATTCTGGATACTGTGATCCAGAACACACAAAAATGAGGGTGTCGTTGGAATTTTCAATGCTGAAAGATAACCAATGGGCGGCACAGTGGTGTAGATGGCAGCACAGTGGTGTAGTGGTTAGCACTGTCGCCTCACAACCAGAAGGTCCTGCGTTCGAATCCCGGTCAGGGCATTCCTTGTTTAAGGGGGGACATGAGCTGCTCGGCGGAGGTCTGTGATCTCCGAGTGCTTTTCTAGTTGTGTACCCATCCCTCTATGTAGAGAAATATTCACCAACACTCAGAAGAATATAAGAGTATAAGAGTATAAACTCAGCTTAGAGCACAGTGTGAAGAGGGCGCCCAGAAACCAAGGTAACTCTGAGAGTTGATGACTTTATTTTTTATGAAGCTCTACAGCCCTGAAAATACACACCTTACCTACAAGACTGAGTTCCACTCTTATCTGCAGCCTCAGGATTCAGGCTCTTCTTTCATTTCATTTGCATACAAATGCATAAACATGCAAACTGTGTTTGCAACTTAAGCTTCAAGTCTGGCAATGAAAACTTAAGCAGAAAAGGAGAAGCTCAGCCTTTCCCAAATCTGAATGTAGAGCAGCCTTCATAAAAAGCAGGTGAAGGGAATGAGTTGGATATTACTCTGAAAACAATAAAAAAGAAACAACATTAGAGGCGGTAAACTGTGTAAGTTTGCAGAAAATATCCAAGAAAAAACAGCAAAGGAAAGAAAAAGTAAAGAGAGCCCGCTCTCTTTTAGACAAAATACAGTTTAAGGCGTTTACTTCCACAGTCTTTGTTCCTACCGGGTATCACAGCCCAGTTTGATTCAGCCTCAGGCCTGGAATAACATACAGTAAAACCTTATTAGACCGAAATGTAAATGTTAATGACAGCCCATCCCCAAAAATGTGGGACTGTCCCTTTAAGATATTCCATAACTGAGTCACTTGACATGAATTTTCCAGATACAAAGAAACTCTCGGTGCACCTTTGAGCTCACCCCGCTGCACACGACTTAGTCACTGTTCACCAGAGAAACGCCGCTCTGCTCACCCACCAACACGGAGCGAGGCAGGGGAGTGTGAGGGATCACACACCGGGGCTACCTACACACACACACACACACACACACACACACACACACACACACACACACACACACACACACACACACACACACACACACACACACGAACACACACACAGAGCTGAGGCTGATCACTCATGCACATTTCATTCAGCACAGCCATGTGAAATTAATGTCCTCACATCAAAAGAAATAGAGTATGAAAAGTGAAAATGATGGTTAGGTGATTTTCAGGCATGAGGGCACACTGAGGCGGCGCTGTGACGTCAATCCAGACACACAATCCCACCTTTAAATACTCAGAAAAACCACCTCTGAATGTAGGAGAGAGAGTGAAGGTCAGACCGGGGTCTCACTCCGTCACCATAATCCAACACAAGCTCTGACCCCCACTGATGTCTCATACGGTTGGTTTGGCGTTAGCCTCTGTCTTATCTTGTGTTGTTGTTGTTTTACAGTTTAATGACCGAATAAATGAAGTGATTAATCTTTCGTTGGCTGCTCACAGGTGGATGTATTCAGCGTAAAAACACTCACTTAATTTCCAAGACTGTGATTGAATCTGAGAAAGTTTAATTAAAAAGATTTGTTGAATCAACCGTAAATTTTAAAATAGTTCAAAATTCAGATTTAAAGTTTATTTCCAAGAAGTTTGCACACTTAGATTAGCTAAAATACCCGTGTCATGATTATCCACTGATGGTCCACCATTTTTGTAGGTTACCTTTCAAGTTAAGAGTGCATGGACAGGCTAGAGCGCCCTCTGCTGGATTAAATGATAGGCAGCCTGATGTGCAGGTTTGCTGTGTTTTTGAGTTTGGACGTCATGTTACAGTTGTTTTAGTTAAAACATGACAGTCGTTTTTAGGGCCTGTGTCCACTGCTGACCAAATATCAGCGTTAGACTTTCTCCTTGTTTTGATCACTGAAATGCTCTAAAATAGACCGGCTCAAGGATTGAGAAAGGAAGTCCAGCCCCTTCTTGGTTTTGATTACCAGTAAACATTGTGTTCGCTGGTAGTCTGTTGGCATCTACGATAGCACCAATGCTTTTGACTTTCACCTTGACTGGGCCCCATTTGTAATGATCTGAAGTATTTATCTGCATTATATCTGAATTTAGTTGAAAAGATACGAGCGAGCAGGAGAGTCTGTTTGAGGGCGGGGCTTGCTGGAGCAGAGAGGGAGGAGCTGAGGGGAAAACTGGTTGGGAGGGGTCGAGTTTACATTCAAGATTTCTCCTAAAAACTGGAACTTCCTCAGATCAAGACTACCCCAACTTTGATAGCTACTGGCAGCACAGAAATGCTGTCAGTGGACACAGGCCCTTAAATCTCCATCTTTCTCTTTCTTGTAAATCTCTGTTTTTGTTTTGGAGATATTTTCTCACGTCTGTCATTTTCATCTGAGCCCAAATCAAGCAGCCAACTTTAACCTCTAATTTCAGCCGCTTTTTTTTGGCGTTTGATTAAAGTTAAGCTCTGAGTGCCTCTGTCCACTGAACAGCAGTGAGCGGGGAGTGACTGCTCAGGCTGACAGATGGGCCCTGTCCCTCCATCTTTACTCACGTTTGATCTCGGCCGCCTGACTGTCAGCCTGCCCCCCCCTCCAGCTGTTTGAAGCAGGCTGAACGCCAGACGTTGGGAGACAGCGGAGATGCCAGCTGCCGGGATGTCCTCAGACTGGCGTTTTAGACATTGTGATGCACTGAGGTGGAGGTCTGCGTACTTCTCAAAGTGGTTTATAACCTCTCTGGATCAGGTAACTCAAGCATAACCCTGAACTCGTCTTTGTTTTTCTGCCGCTGTGACGAAGCTTTGTTGCTGTTTAGACGTGTTTGTGACAGGCGTGCTCAGCCCACACAGGCTTTACTTTGAAAAGTGTTTTGACAAACTTTATTCACAGGGGGGGAAAAGTGCCAACCTACAGAGGCTGGTGTGAAAAATATACAGTCACAGTATCACGGGGTAATTGGCTGTGAGCTGTATGTCTCATTGTGTAGACTCAAATGTGTGAGATTGTAATCATGCTGCATAGAAAGAAATCCGGCAGTGACATTTAACAGCTCAATCATTTTTCCAATCAATTGTCTGTCTTCTGATTAGAGGAGGACGAAGACGAGGAGGAGGAGGGAAGAGGGTAATTTTAGTGAAAATAAACTGATTGCGCACCAAAGCGAGCAGAAATCTGTTGAAGGGAAATCAGACGTCCTGACAGAGCGGTGTGATGTACGACGGTCGTTCGCCTTTTTAATCCTAATGTGGCGTCACTAACTTGATGACAGGCGCATTAAAAAAACATCAAAGGTTCAGGGACTCACATCTGACAGAACCATGAAAATCCACTTTTACAGAGTGTGTTTTCTGACCTTTTCAACCTGGACTATAACACACGCCGTAAACGCCAACACAGGTGTTTATTGTTGTGTATCCAGTTTTATTTACCGCCATATCTTTGAGGTACAACCAAAGCTGAAAGGTTATCTCAGGTGTTAAAAAGACATGAAAAGGAAGATGACTGAACCGGTGATCTATTGGAGTATAAAGATTACATACGTGCATAATATCGCAGCGAGGATAACGTGTGCTTTGTGAAAATATTTTGAGTTTTAGGGCGATTAAGGACAGCATCACCTCTGAAAGACAAAAACATTTGAGCTGCTAAAAACTCCAATTTATATTCAAAGAATCGTCTTCAAGCTAAACACAAAGACGCTGACACAAACAGAGAGTCACAAGGGCTTTTATCAGGATCCTGCAAACAACAGCAGCATTTTTTAAGCAGAGTAACTAAATAATATCATCGGCGTATAAAATGTGTAAGAACAAGGACAAAAACTCTCTGCAAAAGATTTTTATAATATTTTGTGTAATTCACAGAATCAGTTCAGTTCTACATGATATGTTATTGTCGTGTTTACAACAT